TTTTGGTGTATTATATAACAAATGCTTTATTAAGACTTTGCTTGGGAATTGGTTATTTTAGTTATTTTTTTATAAAAAAAAAAATATATAGAAAAGTAAAGAAGGTGATGTGATAACTTATAATGACTTTTTAATTAAAATCTTAAGTCTCCAAATAAGGCTTAAGAGGCCCAATTAGCTAATAAACAAAACCTTGTTGCTCATGGAGAAAGAATTGTAAATAAGGAATGTTGAGATGAATGGTAAATTTTAGAATGTATTTAAATTTTATTTATTTATCATTTGAGTCGATTTCAAATGAGCTCTTACCACATTGGACTCAAGTAACTTAATTTTTTATATCACAATATAATCAAGCTGAGTTGAGTAATAAGTTATTTAAACTTGAAAACTTAATGAATTTTATAGTGTATTTAAACTTAATTTATTTACATCTCAAGCAAATTTTAACAAACCAAATTGTTGGGGAAGTTTTAAAATGGATTTTCAAAATCTATTGTTTAGTTTTGAGTGTTTTCAAAACCTTTCATGTTTTTCTTTCAAAACATGAAATAAACTTGGGGACTTTGTCCCACATTGGAAAGAGAGCAAAACATGAAGCACTTAATAAAATGTTACATGAAATATTCCTTTGAATATGGTATTATGGGATGGATGCTAGTGTACATGCACTCATACCCCAAGGATGGGTAGTGGGCTGTGTGGCATTTGATGGCGCACTTTGTATGGACGCATCGGCGCAAGACGCCATGAGAGCACTTTTCTATTTGCATCGGACAAGTTGGAGCGATGACATAGATCCAACGTGGCATGGGTGATACGGAATACAATCAACTCCACATAGCAGTGTTGTGGCGTTCGTTGGCGATGAGTCAACCAACCGATCGAATGGTTGTGTGTTCAATCTGGAGTGCTTTGATCATAGTTGTTGATTGGAGATGCACGTGATCGTACGAATGAGATGGCACCCGATCGTGATCAGGTGTGATTAGTTAAGGCTTGTATTCAGTGTGAGAATGATCTATACCATAGATCGTCAATCCAATAGTCAGATCTGATCGAATGCGATTAAGGGACATGACCATTCTATCAGATGCATCGAGACCTATAAATAGGTTGCGAAATCAGCCATTTCACTCCATTCAAAATCCAGAAATCATTCTTGCAATTCTCTCTCTTGATTTAAAGTTTTCGATCAAGAGTTTCTTAAGCAAGTTTCTACTTTTCTTATTGGTAATCAAATTCTACAAACTTGATTATCAGTATCTTGGTTTTCTTGATTATGTCAAGAGTATTCTAAACTACTGTTGTCAGTGCAGACACCAGTAAACTTGATCTTTAGATCAGACTTCATTATATCCTGGAGGCGAATTACCTATAACCCCTTGCACACCTTTTAGTGGTTGCAAATATTGTCTTTAGGTAAATTACACTTTATTTTCTTTTAGGTTTAACCAAGTAAATAGAAACTTTTCTTCTCACATCATTATGTATTGTTGATTTTATGTGCATATTTGTATTTTGCTGGTTTTATTTTTCCTATGAAGGAAAATATTATAAATACGAGCGTGCTAGCAAGGATTGAAAAACCCTTATAGATTAAATTCAAGCTAATTATCGAACAATTGTGTTGATGGTTCTTTTGTCTCAATGAAGAGGACTTCAAAATTGTCAAATGCAGAGAAAGAGAAAAATTAATAGAAGGAGGAGGGAGACGGAGAGAGATGATTGAGTGAATAATCAAGGTGATTGAGTGAACAATCAAAGTAATAATTACTTACCTCTATTCCTATGCTTTGAAAATGAAGTGCATAAAATGTTTCGAAAAGGAAGTGTGTAAAATAAAATACAGAAAATATAAATGACAAGAAAAATATAAATCAATTATCTTTGATTTGAGTTCTGGCCCTCCTCTATAATGTACTCATGAATGGCTATTTAGGATTCGTTTGGGATGCGAGTTTGTTTTTTGGCTTTTTAGCTATTTTAGCCTTGGGCTAAAAAGCTTCGTTTGAGATAGACTTTTTGGTTTTTTTGACTTTTGTGAGAGAAAAAATGAAGTGATTATGATTTGGATGTGAAATTTTGTCTTATTGGGCTAAAAAATATATTTTATCTTTTTGTGGCTATTTTAACTAAAAAGTCCCCGTTTAGCTTATGCCAAACGAGTGCTTATAGGCAAACATTTGTAAAAAAAAAAAAAAAAAAACTACCTAATAGCTATCATATTCTTCCATCTCCTCTATATTTTATTTTCCATTACCTTCTATAACTTTCTTCAACCCCCACTTCATACTCCATGCTCTTTATCTTCTCTATCATCTTTTCACATTTCATAACGTCTAAATAAATAAAAAAATATCACATGTCCTATAATTTTATAAATAAAAAATAATAATAAAAATTATAAATTTATAGTGCCAACATATTTATATAGCAACGCTCATGGGATAAAAAAAGTTGTTACACTCTTGTCAGACTTTAACAATGTAACTCAACCTTTATTTTTATTTATTTTTTAATTACTATAGTCCATAGATGCTTAAAAATAAAAAGAAAAGAAGAAAGGCAGTCTAATCCAAAAATTCTAGGCCACCAAAACAGACATATTACAATCTTGTATCAGAAAAATGACAAAATACTAAACCGTTCTTTATTTTCAGCTGTGATTAGTGTGCGGCGTGCCTGTCTTATATATAACATAAAATACCTACTGGGTCTTAGGTGTGCCGGTTGTTTAGCTATTTTAACAACACAAAAGTAACGAAAAACGACTTTGAAAGCTTTTTTATTTTTTTTTTATTTTTTTATTTTTATTAAGGATAAATTACGCTTACACTTATGAGATTTAGATTTAATACATATCATTTTTTAATATTTAAAAAATTATATTAACTCTCTTGTTATTATAATTATTTAGATAGAATGAAAATATTAAATTCATACACTATTTCTTTTCTTGTTTTGCTTTATTTATTTTTTTTCAATGTAATTTTCTTTATTTTTCTATTAGGAGTTGCTGCTATTTATATAAGTAGAGGGGGTTTGTAAAATGAGACTATTAACCACATGAGTAAAATATAATTTTCAAAACGTCAAAAGGTAGAATGTAACTGGACCAAATCTCAGGAGTGTCAACATAATTTACCCTTAGTTTTAATATCCAACGTGGCCTTCGCTTGAAACACATGGGAATGAGCCAAAATAGCTGCATTAGAGTATCCGCATCAGACTTAGCAAATTTAAGTTAAATTATAATTAAAAATTTACTTTTGTATTTTAGTTAGATTTTTTTTAAGGATTTTTTTATGTATACATTTTATCAGACTCTTTATTCTAAAATTTCATTTTAAAAAATATTCATTTTTTATTGAGTGGTCAATCGGGTGCTCGATCACTTGGTGAAAATTACTCAATTTTGATACAGATTAGGTGGTTGACCACTTGGCAAAATTTTCTAAATAATAAAATAATGTATAATTTATGAACAGTAAATCGCTACGTCAAACGATATATTATAACAATATCAAAATTTATTTTGTTGTAACTAGCCTAATGTAAAAATTCTTTTGAACCTTATCTAACTAATATAACTCTAAAACTAATATAACAAACCTGATACGGATGGTGCCAATAACTCTCTCTAACTTATATAAGGTGAATAGTCAATTTCTTTTATCAGTATAGTGGGTAATTAATGGCACCCCACCAGCTTCCCCCAAATCCAGCCCAACTACTGCCCACCAAACTTCTACCTCAATAAGAGGTTGAAAATTTGAGCATAGGAATAATTCAAAAAGAAAATGTTTAAGACCTATATAAAATCTTTCATAATGATGTGATAAAATATATGTCAACTTTTAATTTGTCACTACTTTGTTGTGTAGAGCCTATTTTTCTTTTTATATCATTGTAGATCAAATAATGAATTCAAATTGTAAATCTGTAGCACTACTTAATTTAAAATAATTATAATTTTTATAAAAATACAAATGAGTCTGTGTCCATGATAGATAAGACAGCTGTCACTTTGCTTACACTTACACTATCATTAAAAATACAATTATTTCAAGTTGTTATGACTGAAATGGAATTTTCCCTATAGAGCCGTGCTTCGGACCCCAATGACGTGGCAGCATGGGGTTGGTGGAAAACATAAAAAAAAAAAAAAACGGTTTTTTTTTTAAACCAATCCACTTTCCAAAAGGTCATTTATCCCAATCACCAGCAATAACTAGCCGACCCCTAATTTTCGGTAATTGACTCCTTTGTATGGTTTACCACTTGCTCAATAATAATAAGATTACTAGGAAAAATGAACCTGGAGTTTGTGGGTGCTAAGGGAGCTGCTGCTAGTATGAATAGGTTTTTTAGAAAGGTCTGGCTTTAGTCCAGTCCACGATTGGACTGAACCGTGCTGTTGGGCCCGTAGGGGCTTACCATGGGTCCTGTTTTGAAAATATGAACCGTTAATGTGTAGAATTCGTCGAGTACTATATGCCTATAAAAAATCACGTTGATCGGATATCGATAGCTATGTAATCAAATTAGTTTTGTATAAAAAAAAATGAACAGTGAATAAATTAACAGTTGACAAAAAACTATTTTGATCACATAGCTATCGATATCCGATTAACGTTATTTTTTACAGACATATAATACTCGACGAGTTCTACCTATTCAACGGTTCAAATTTTCAAAACGGGACCTATGGTAGGCCCTCCACGGGCCCAACAGCATGGTCCAGTCCGATCATGGACTGAACCAAAACCAGACCCTTCGAAAATGGTCCAAACGACATCCCTCCCTACGCTATTGTCTTGAATTCAATGATAATATAAAAACTCGATTTTTGAAGAATATCAAAACAAAAACTAACACCTAAATGATATAATTTCTACATAATCAGGATTGGAAGCAAAATAATCACTAATGTGTTTGTAGATTTCATATGCTCTTTCAAAGCCACTATTCGTAAAGGAAGTAAACAAAAGCACACATTGAATGAAAAATTCAACTAAAAATTTTTGATAGGCAATCCTACACCTTGAGACAAAAATATAAGCATTTCATAAGTGTCCAAAAAAGTATACATCCAAGTACAAATACCTTATGTCTTGTGAGAGTGTGAGGCCTGTGATAAAAAACGAGTGTTGAGTTAAAATAATAATAACAATAACAACGATACAAACATCTGAGGCAGTAGCTATGAAGTAGAATTTTTCGGTTGCGTGGCCTATTTTTGTGCAATAGAAACAGCAGATTCCTGATCAATTTCTTTGCGGGATGCTTCCCAGAGTCGTTGCTCAATACCCAATTTCCTCAGCTCCATCAAACCTTGCTCAACTACAATGCAATACATTCACCTTAAGGAAAGTTGAAAACTAAGCTAAAAAGGAAAAGTCCACAATACGCATGATAATTCAAAGACACTCAAACTCAACAAGATGACTGTAGCTATCGTGTTCCAATAATGTGAATATGAGGATTGTAGTCTAGTAACAATTACCATCAACAGCATCATGTGAGGATGGTGAGTGTGCACTACGGCTAATCCAAAACTGAAGTCTCTTTTTGGCAATCTCCTCTTCTATACCATGGACTTTGGCTCTTCCCCAAAAATATGTAAGCCATGCCTATCCAAGTTAAAAGTGACACAAACAAGAATAATATCACCAGGAGTAGACATCAGCTTAACCTAAAAATCAATTGTGCAGAAATAATATACAAATTTGAAATGATGCAAAATACTTAAATTGAGGTCATTGTTTGACCAAGATTTCTTAAACTATGTAGTTCTAACTTGTACACAAAATTCTATAGAGGCAAGGGATGAAAATAGAGATGAAAAGAAAAGTGACGATCTTCAAATGTAACACATCTCTTCATGGTGAGGTATGCAGATATCCAAATCATTGACAAGGCTAGAGATGGATGGAAAGGCGTTGAATGGAACTCAGTATTTGTGTTTCAGAATTTTACTTGGTTCTGATTCTCAGTTAAGATTCAAATTACTTCTGTCATTCATAATTGGGAAGAAATGAGGTTGTTTCTATACCTAGTAAACAAAATGAGCTCACACAGAAGGAAAATACTACGATGAAGCACAATAATTAGAATTCTCAACCACTTGAAATATGTACTTGCGAGCAATCAGAGGAGTGTGACATATATAAATTAGCATGACTCATACAAAAAATAGTGACACAGAAATCCCAGACCTCCTTAAAAAGAACATCCTCAGACTCTTCCGGGCTCAGTTCTGCAGGGGAACAAAGACTTCAAAGTTAATACTCATTCATCATGGATGATCCATAATTCTATCAATAGCAAAATTTTAATAAATTCTCAAATTTTGACACTGCCTAATAACAGAATAGGATGGAACAAAAATAGAAGTCAGGGCATTCTGCAAGTGAAGCATCCAGTAATTTACATATTATCACACAAAAACATCAAAAAAATTATTCAAGCTTGCTCAAAGTAGTTTCAGCAGTGTCTATATTAGCAGGAACATGCCCTGAAATAGTGAAGGACTTGCAAGTTAAAGAAACACATTCATGTCCAGATCAAGACCAAAAAAGAGTGAAACAGAAAGAACTATTATATGATATCACCAAGAGTGAAGCAAAACTACGAAAAAAGACAAGCTTGTAATACTACAATTTTTTGGCAGGGATATTTTCTTATCCGTCTGAGGTGATTGTCAAAACAAATTCTACTAGTAGCTTGTTCAAACACTTTTGACAATGAAAATCTCTTAATTGAGTGTTATACCTTGCAAATTGCAATTGCATCCCCACTTAATGGTAATAGTACTTTTCGGGAATTCAGTGCATACATATATAGATTCTAAAGCAAAATACAGTAGAAAACTACACTAAGGAAAGCCCAAAGCATACAAAATGAAACACATACCAAATGCATCCATAAACTTTGGATCACCAGGTGACTTCAGGTCTGCATATGAAAGGAATAAAAGAATAAGTAAGAAAAGAGTCCAGTATTTCGGAGGATATTATTGAACCTGAGGTACTTAACATTTTCCAACCACTAGACTTTCTCAAAGCCATAACTATATCAAACAAAATTCACTTAAAGAATACTTTCTATGCCAATGAATATCAGTAACCCTAAAACATAATCTAGAAGACATTAGCACCTGTGAAACGAAAATGCTTCAGAAGCCTACAAGGAGTTCTCAATGCAATCGCCAGAGAACATGAAGCCTCAGACTTCCAAAAATAAAAAGAATTAAAAGAAGAAACGAGAAAAATAATTTCTAGAAGATAGGCTATAGCCTAAAGTTTATACATACAAACAACCATATATGCTAAAATTGAGTCATCTCATGTCAATAAAGCCATAATCCCAACATTTTGGGATTGGCTAACATGCTCAAATGATAAAAATACATTATGCAAAACATGAAAATGAGACTGACAAGAGGCTGCTGATTTGGACACCAATTCTGATAAAAGGGCAACCCTGTCAAGAGCAATTGAAACCATGAATTTTCTGAACCATGCAACACAAAAGTCTATATGGAATAATAATGACTATTCGGTGCCTCACTTAAGAGAGGACTTATATTCATAAAACCTGGGCAACCAGCAGTGGCTTCAAATATAAACCAGAAACTGCGAGGGAGTTCATCAATTAAAGCAGGTATCAGCCATCAAGCACATCAGCAGCATGTATAAGACAAACCTGAACCAGATAGTCGAACAGCATTTGCACGCCGCTGTTGTGCCAATGCAAGCACAATGGCATCCTCAACCTTGGAAAGAGCAACCATAGAACATGTGAGTAGGTATAGCGACAATTCCAAGAAAGAAATACTACAATATCATAAACACAACTGAAAAGCAAGTGGCCTGGTTTGAAGAACCAAAATTACTGAAGAACACTAAGAGTGAAGGATGAAAGTGAAACAAAATTTGATCTTATACTTCAAAAGGAAACCTTCAATGATGCAAGCTCCTTCAAGCCCATTTCAACTGAAAGCATACTCTCTATATTTCCTTCTCCAGTAAGATCGTTCAAGTCCTGAACTAGTTTGCTCCTCTCAGGATTCTCATCGCCTGCTCAGCATTGTAGATACAAAGGCTTCAAATGTGATTGAAAGAGATGATATAATGGCCCTGTTTGGTAGGGCTTATTTTCAACTTATTTCAGCTTTTAGCTTAATTTAAACTATTTTGATGTGTTTGGTTCAGCTTAACAATACAGCTTATAACTTTTTTTAAATCAAAAATCAACTTATTCTTTGAGTGGGGGAGGAGAAACTTATTTATAAGTAAAAAATCAGCTTATGTTCACAGTTATAAGTTATAAGCTGTTAAACTATAAGCTATAATCACTTTCCCACAGCTCTACCAAACGGTGCCAATAAAGCAAATATATTGTCTTTATCAAACAAATAATAAGAATAATAATATTTGCTGCAATGAAAAGACAATGGCATTAACCTTTATCCCAGCATCCCTCTTTTGCCTTTTGCCCTGCAGAAACAACAACTTCGAAAGGAAGAGGTGCTAAAGATGACCAGTACTCATGTTTTGACACTGCAATATCTGCACAGATGCCTAAAGAACAAAGAACCATTGTGATTAAATAAAATCTGATTTGTGAGGGAAAAACTATGAGAAAAATTCATCAATCAAGCTAAAACAAATAAAAACAAACAGGAATCAACATGACCTTGTTAATTCAGATAATTGAAAGAAAAAAAATGAAAAGACACATGCAGATAGTTGGAGTAAATGGAACACCCAAGTGCGAATATCATTGATACCCCAAATATCATAAAGTTCACGGGGTATTAGTACATGGAGAATTTGAACAAAAGAAGGGTACTTTGCAACTACTTAGAGTTCGAAAAATTTGAAGCTTATTTATGGCATGTTTTGAGAGATGAGATTTAAAGATATAAAAAGGTTATCCATACATGACTAAGCATGTAAATTAAGTCACAATTTGGGTTAAAATACACAGCATAGCATAACGCAAGAACTCCACTTGCTTTAATCTCAACTACTTAGGGTGAGTAAATATGAATGAATGAACAAAAAAATGAATAGAAAAATGAACTTTTGCTTTTAAATAATGAAGTAAAACATAGCTGTAACATGCTGATTACCATGCCGTGCAGCTAAACCCCAATAACGTGCAAGCCAACACCGCTTAAGAACAACTTCCTCCTGCAGTGTGATATGCTACTGCAATTAATATATACAGAAAATATGATAGGATTAGGTTCCAGGCAACAATACAAGTACATACCATTTCACTCTGGGTTAAAACCATCCTTTGTGTCATTGAACGAAGACCTCTAACTTCAGATTCAGTTCCCTGAAGCTGGTCTACGGCAGCTGTAGCCTCAGTTTTCACTTTCTGATTCAAGCAAAATATCAAAGCATAAAATTTTACAATGTTCAGCACTAGTGTAAGCCCCTTTAAAGTAAGTATAGAAACAAATAAAATATAATTAATAATGGCTGTGTGGAAGCATTCTTTACCTTAAGTTCAGACCGGAGGGAGGCAATTTCCTCATCTACCCCATCTTTTGTTTGTTTTGCATCTCTAAGTGCAGCCTATGATAATAAATAATTTCTTCATTATGCTAAAAGAACAGAAGGTGGAAAAAAAAGGGAATAACATGCACATAGGAGATGAAACACTCCAATCAGTTTGTGCAGTCCAGAACACCAACTCAACCATACGTACATATATAATTCCATTTTCAACTCATCATACAAAGCTCAATTCATCTCCCCTCAAACTCAAGTCCAAAGACAATAAATTGAGAGCTTCACTGGTACACCTTTACACTCAAAACGAAGAAACAACTCAAATGTGCCACCTACCTCTCTTTGACGCAATGCAGCTTCCTTCCTGTGAGTGATTAACACAAGATGTCATAATCAAAATGACATGAAAACAGTTATAAGAAGAATATTAGATAAAGTCATAGATGTAGGAGGCATTTATTAACTCTAGTATACCTGCTCAACAATTTTGCTTCTAAAGATACTCCTTCTCCAAGAGCAGCTACCTGGAATTAGAATCAAGCAGTGAAGTTTCAGCGTCACATTGAGACAGAGCTGATCATTGCCAGGAATGCATTACATACAAGTAAAATCAATTCAATAAATTTCAACTTCTTGTAAAACCAATTCAATATATTTCAACTTAGTCTTTATTACCACTGAAAGAAATATCTTATAATGCTAATTCTTTTGTTGAATGTATTTTCTGTGCTATGTAGAGGTGAACATTGGTTTAATGGTAAAACTTTAGCCAAATAACCTTGAGATTATGGGTTTAAGTCTCGGGGCAACCACTTTGTACATTATGCCAAAGGTTAGGTGTGTACCCAATTTTTTCCCTCCCAAACACACATTAATGTATACTAATTGGGCGTTGTTTTTTATTTTCTGTGCTATGTGACAACCTCAAGTAAACTATTTACTTTGCATTGCAAGAAGTTTGAGCAGAAATTTCAAAATTTTTGGGAGGAAAAAATCAAATAATATATGTCAATCATAAACACAACTAATAGAAAGGAGAAATTAATAGGAAATGCATACACAACATGTTCAAAAATGAAACATCTGATCTCATACTGTAGCTGTAGGTAAGCCGTAGGGTGGGCATAATCTATCATCACCAGAATCATAGACATTAAGGTATTGTTTTAAAATGTTCAAGCTCTACGAATAACATCCACGTGGAAGTTGGGGAGCAATCAAAATGTCTATAAGCATGCCTACCACAAAACAGAGGCAACTCAACTGTGTAAAATAATTCAATGAGAGACTTCTAATTAGAAGCTAAGTCACACTCTTACATTCTGATGTGCAACAAAACAATAAAGACATAACCTGTTTCTCAAGCTCCCTAACTCTAGCCTCTGCTTCGTCACAACCCTCTTCTGCAATCCTAAGCTGTACAACAGAATCCAAAACCAAATGTTATTGCCATAGATAGCATGTTTGGATGGGTTATATCATTTGGGTCGGGCGTGCATGTGTATGTGTGTGAGCAAGAAAGAAAATATAGAAATACAGAAATTGCACCTTTTCAAGAATATTCTCATTCTCTTCTTGTAGCATATCAAGCTGCAAAATGAGTACACATTAGCTTGACAAGAGAATCTTCAAGGCTAGTAATACGTAGCATACTACTCAGGATGCATACTCAAATGTTAATTGTAGCACACGCAGACATAGAAAGATATAAACTTGATAAGTTTGATTAACATACTTCATCACGAAGGGCAGAAGCCTCCCGTTGATCTCCTGTATCTTTCAAGTTCAATTGCCCCATATCTGATGAGAATCTGCAATTTATATCAGTGGTTATAACTTATATACACCCGACCCAGCAAAATAACAATATCAAAAGTTCACCATTGCATAAGCATGATACGTACTCAATAGAGGCCAATGTAGACATCTCACATATGCATGTATGTACAAGTTAAAGTTTTTGTTTTGATGAGAAACAAGCGTCAAGTCTATTCAAACAATTCATAAATTTCTAACTCTATTGACTAGACTGACAGTTTTAGCAATAATTTCCCTTCAACAAGTGCAATGAGCATTGCACATGCAACGAGTATGTATGAAGTCTTAATTTGTGAGAAGCAATGTTATTAACAGAGAAATAAGGCAGAATTTATTTTCACCTTTTCTCTGTTTGCCTATTAGTGGGAGGATCAATTGGTGGTATAGGAATTGGTGCCTTCAGCGATGTTCTACTAGGCGGTAATGCTGGAGTTGTACGAATAGACAATGACGGCCTTCCAGCTGATGTTGAGTGAACCGAAGGAGTTTCCTCTACAGAGTTACGAGCTGACTAATAAAAAACAAGAAATCAAGTTAATCTAATTGAATTGGAACCTGCATTACTCTGATTCTCTCTCTCTCTCTCTCTCTCTCACATAAAGGAATCTCAATTAACAGGAATGAACACTAAAATACACTATGATCTACAATACAACAGATCCTCTATTAATTTATACCAGATAAAATATAACTGATCTGTCGATCGCTCAAGGCAATAGATACTTCAAAATTCAATGGCTTTACTAATCCAAACTCAAAATGTGGTTGATTTCCGAAAATTGAGTCGAGAAAGGAGTTAGATACAATGAACAGCCACAAAACAATTATAGCCATCAAACTAAAAATGCAGTCAAAACACAAAACTAAATTGGAGTGAAATTACCGAAGGAGAAGGAGATCTAGTGGTCTTAGTAGAAGGAATCGCAGGCTTATTCTTGGTGTTGTTGCCATTGACAGAGGTGTTGGAGGAGGGCCTCGTGAACGACGGAGGGAGAGGAGCACCGAATGCAAAGTCGAGGTCGTCGTCATCGTCATCATCATCATCGTCGCCGTTGTCGGCGGCCTGAGAAGCCATGACCTGAGCGAGGCGCTGGGCGGCGGCTTTGGCGGCGAAGTTCTGAGTGCGCTTGATGTTAGAAATGCCGGTGGCGGAAGACGACCGAGAGTGGTGGTGGCGAGAGGGCGACATTGTCGGAGACGAGGAGCCGGCGGTGGCGCTCGATTCGCTGCTCCACTGACGGACGTAGACCGGACTCTCGGTTCGTCTCCGGTCCATGTATTTATATGAGAGAGAGAGAGAGAGAGAGAGAGAGAGAGAGAGCAAACTTTAAAATCTCGAAAGGCCTAGGCCTAGATCTCCTCCGTCTCCGTGGGACGGAAGAAGAGTAAGACAGAATTAAAGCACAAAAGTATGTATGGTATGGTATGGTATGGTATGGTATGGGGGAAAAGGAGAAGTGTTAGCAGTAGTAGTAGAAGTAGTCAAATGTCGCAAATTACAAGTAAAAATCTAGATACGATTTGTGGTTAAGAAGTCAAAGAAAACAACACGAGTTTAGTTTTAGTTTAACCACTGGTATTATCTCTGGATTCACCTACCTAGTTGACCAAAAACCTAAATAAAAAAAACACTATAGTCTATACTGATAACTTACAGGTGGATTAAAAAATACACCATCTTTAATTCAGCTTTAAATTGTTATGGTAAAAAAAAATCAGTTTAAGGGATTGTTTGGGGTGTTCTAAATAAATATATTTTTTGTCTTTTTGAACTAAAAAATTTAGGTTAAAAATATAGATGTTTGAGTTAACTTTTTGACTTTTTATGAAAAAATGTGTAATAAAAAATTATAAAAATTGATTTGTAGGATTTATAGGGAAAAATTCGAATTGAGAGTTGCGCAGTCGTAATTATTGACTTTTGATGAATAGTATTAACTTTTTAACTTTTTAAGTAACTTTTTATCTTTTTATCTTTTTTTGAAAGATTCCAAACTTGTCCTAAAATTAGATGACTCTTCCATATCAATGAAATATCTTATGAATTTTTTTATGTGATTTATGGTTACTTTTTTTAAATATGATAAATCACTACAACAAATTAAGCATGTAGTAGAGATAAAAATGATCAAAATTAACTAGCTCATGAGAATTTTTTATTATATGATTGTCCTGAAATTTTTTAGTTACAACAACTTCAACCAATTTATTAAATCAACCCCTTCAAATCTTCCCATAGATATCTTAAAGATCATTGTTACAAAAGTCAAGAGTCATGGGTCGCATGTCATTGTTTAGCTTCACACAAACAGGAAAGGTTGACTGGAGGCGATAAGATTCTTCTAATTTCCCCAAATAAACTAGTAACAAAATTGTATGGAATTAGGAAAACGAAAGACAAAAACCCTTGAAGCAAAACTGCATGAAAACTCACAATTTTTTATGAATCCATAAAACACAGATTATCAAGTCTAAAATAGATGCATGCAAGGTATAATGCAATGGATGCATGCAAGCTATAATGTAATATCTATGATATGCAATGGAATGGATATTTACAGTGAAAATGCATGACATATGCATTATATTACGGTGAAATGCATGACATATGCATTATATACAATGATGCATGACATATGCATTATTTACAATGTAATGCATGACATATGTAATATTTACAATGATGCATGACATATGCACTATTTTTGATGAAATGCTTATGATGCATGTTGCTTTTTTTGAAATGCGCAACAGCGCGCGACGTAGGACGCATGATAATACATGAACTTTAAATGCGCGGCAACGCGCGGTTATTGAGATACATGACAGTGTAAATGGACTGTGCACATCAATGCACTAAAGGTCTTGCACCTTCCGAGGATTTAAGGTCTCCTAGACCGTCGTATGTACAGGACGGTGTGATGCGCAAAATAGTGCGATTGAATGCATGCAAAATGCAATGAGATGCGCAAAATAACGCGATGCGTTAGACAATGCGAGTGCACAAGACAGTGCGATGCGCAAGATAGCGCGATGGAATGCATGCAAAATGCAATAAGATGCGCAAAATAGCGCGATGCGTTAGACAATGCGAGTGTACAAGACAGTGCGATTGACATGTATATGATACTTACAAGATATGTGCGCAACAATGCGAACTAGATAACGCATAACCAGCGCGCGTTCACGACAAAGCGTCGTAATGCAATGCAAGTAAGGCAACTTTCACATCTTGTAAGGGACAAAAGGATACAAAAAGGATACTCCCCGCACATATTCGAGTGCCACGCACAGAAGACACGGTCCGAGGTCAAAACGGAGGCCGGTTGAGCTTCGGAAATGCCTTTTCATGTACTATCTCGAGCAATGAAGGCCCCAAACTACAGATCTGACCCAAACAAGGTTGTAGGAGGCTCACCGGCCGGAAGTGGGAGTCACCGGCTGTTCATCGGCCATCAAAATACATCACCGGCCAAATATTTGGCCAACCGGCCAAAAATGTAGCCGACCGGCCAAATATGCCTGAATCGGGGCAGTTTTGACTTTTCACCTCGGGTCTTTTAAAATAGGATTTCAAACCCTATTTTTCTCATTTTCCTTGGCCGAAAACACTTCCTCTCTCTCTCTAGAGCATTTCCCGAGCCTTATTCCTCGTTTTTCTCGCGTTTTACGCCCGTTCCATTGTTTGATTCGCGAAGTTTATCGTGTTTCAAACATTTTCATCCGATCAAAACTTCGTTTCGGCGCTTCCTTTTCGATTTCCACTTCTTGGGGTTTGTTTCCCCCAAGTTTTCCTTGATTTTCCCACATTTTCCATATTCCGGCTTTTCCAGCCATTTTCCATCCTCTCGGGGTTGACTTTTCGGTTGACCTTTTATATTCTAGGCCGATTTCCTCTCTCTCGACCATTTTCACACCACTTTTGTCATGGCCGATGATATTCCACAGGGCGGGACTCCCCTAGATCACGAGATGGACCCTGGGGCCGAGCTCCTCCCCTTGAGCGTCCGCCCGTTCGGCTAGGCGACCTACCGGTCGGCGATTCACGTGCTTCCTCCCGACGGACTTCGTCAGTTCAGGAGCTTCGAGAGGGGCGTGCCTCCAGAGCTTCTCTTGCGCGAGTCTACATCTCATTTGTCCTTCGGCGCTTCCGAGGTAACATTCTTCCCTCTGCTTTACTTTCCGCAATGTAGAACACCTAGTTACCATAACTGATTATGCTCTTTAACTGCTTAGCCCAAATGCACTGAGGCACTGTACACTGTAATCGACCATGAACACACTTGCAACTGATATCTGTTCAAATCTGAACACGTGCACACATACTGCATTCGCCGTGAACCACTCAAATATACTGACACATCAGTCACTGTAGTTCACTACGAGCACACCGGCACCCGATATCTGTTTGAATCTGGAAAATGTGCCCACATGCTGTATCTACAACAAACCATGCAAACACACTGACACATCACATGTTGTAGTTCATTACCAAATCTGAATGCTTTTCAAAACTGTACTTTAGCGTTTCTTCACCATTGTCTGCTTGAAAATAGGGAGATTCTCATACCGTCCGGGGGTATGGGAATATTGCCGCTCGGAATTGGTATGCAGAGTTACCCGACGCGGTTCGCCACATCGTGGACCAGGCCGGCTTCGGCGCATTTTGCAGAGGGCTTTCCAGGCTGATGACGAGCAGGCCCCTCCTTGCCGCTCTAGCAGAGAGGTGGTGGGACACCACCGACTCGTTTCATCTTTCTGCGACGGAAGACATGACGATGACTCCCTATGATTTCTCGATGCTCACAGGCATCGGGGTAGGGGGTGATCCGATCCAGTTTGATACTGATATGGACGAGTGGACGGCTGCTTAGATCCATCTGCTCGGCGAGGTGCCACCTCTTGCGCGTCCCGGCTTCGTCCGATATTCGTGGTTCGAGGTCCAGTTCAGGGTCTAGCCGGCTTTGACCGAGGAGGCTCTGATGACCCAGGAGGCAGTGGAGCCGTATGCCCGCGGCTTTCTGATGTTTCTGCTGGGGACTACCATTTTCGCCAATCGGACGAACACCGTGCCCCTTTGTCTGCTCAGTGCACTGGTGGATGTCAGGCAGATTTTGCACTATGACTGGGGTGGTGCCGCTCTGGCCACCCTCTATGGGTACATGAGCTCAGCTTCCAGCGGCAGTGGACAGTTGCTCGGGGGCTATTGGCGCGCTTGGGAGGTACATTTCCTTTTTCTTCTTCACATTTCATTTCTGCTTTCTATTATCTATACTCTGTACTGTACTCTGTACACTGCACACACTGGACCTGCTTTATACTGACTGTATACTGTACACACGGCACACACATACTCTGCTTTACACCGACTGTACACTGCTCAAACTGTACACTCTGCCCAACACATTGCACACGGCTCTGCTATTTCTGTTTTATTCTGCGTCCTGCTTTATCTGATGATCATATTGGTATTTGGTTTGCAGTTGTGGGTCTACGCTTACTTTCCCAGGTTAGCCCCAGTACTCGACGCGGAGACCCCTCTTGTCGTCCTGTTCTCACACCACTTTGACGGGAGGTGCGTGCGGAGGCCCCGGGAGACATTCACCTTTTTCCGTCGCTATTTTGACACCATCACCCCCGCGGAGGTATGTTCGACTTTAGAGTTTATTTGAGCTTCGCTTTTCACTGTATGTTTTCAATAACAGTAGATAACAAACTGTATTTCATTTTCAGATCACCTGGCAGCCTTGGGCTCCGTTGCCAGCCGTGACCCGGGATCGGTTTGCCGGGGCAGAGGAGACTGCATGCTTCCGGATCTTGCTGGAGGGCCCGGTCTGTCGGGCTTGGTACCTGGGCGAGCGTTTCCTACGCCAGACCCTGGGGTTACCAGAGCAGATAGTCCCGGGTCCACCTCCTGCCCACATGAGGGACACCGAGAGGTTCACCGCCCAGGAGATGGCCGATTACACGATCGACTGGGACGCGGAGGACTTCAGGGGTGAGGGCGACTTCAGAGAGTACGTCCAGACCTACATTACGCGGCCTCTGAGCAGTGGCCGTCGAGCTGAGAGAGGGAGACCGGTGGTGCTGGCAGCTGGAGCTGGAGCTGGAGCTGGAGCTGGAGCTGGAGCTGGAGCTGAAGCTGGGGCAGGGACGTCGAGGACAGCTCGTGTCTGTGGCTGGAGCGGAGCTCGGAGGGGTCAGGGGGTTAGCTGGCCAGCGCTACCCACGATGATGACATGCCGAGGGCAGGGTGGGGCGACATACCAGATCCCCTTTGCTCCTCCTCCGGCTGACCATGGGTTGGTCGAGTTCTATGACTTACCTCCGGTATGTACTACTTCATCTTGCATCTTGCATTGTCATTTTATTTTAGTTTATTTTGATATTCCACAGAATACTGATGCCTTTGATACTTTTGCAGGCTTCTTCCGAGTATACCCGGCAGTCCTTGGA